TTGCATTAAATATAAAATTTTAATACAAGCGTGTTCTGTACAGTTTTAGACACCAAAAATATAATGTAAATCAAATAATGATGAGTCTTGAATGCGCTCCATCTTCTCAAAAGCTAGCATCGGTACCTGTCTACTGATGACCTGAGAATACAAGTTATTTTGAAAGAGTTTATCAGCATTAAGCTGGTGAATTCATAAGTATTTTAGTGTCGATGTTTGTTATCAAAACGTTTGAACCTGTCGCAAGTATGAGTTGTAAATGTATGTAAGTGTTTGTAAAAGTTTGAATCTCTCAGAAAAACCTATATTTTCTGTTAAAGTAGCCTCTACCAAGGCTTAACTGTTTTGTATGCTCGTTTGATGTAAAAGTGTGTAATTTCCCAAGTGTAACTATCTTTTAACAAAATATAGTTTGTACATTAAAGTTTAAGTGAGGTTATCACCAAAATGTAATGGGTAAATTATTGTAGTACTGTAGTTTTGTTTTATAGGAACTACTGCTGTACTAACTACCTTAAACCGGGTTTATATTAAGGTATCATGTGATAAATTGCACCATACTATCGACTGGTAACAACGACAACGTATAGTCGAAAAATAAGGTATGACGTTTGGCACCCGCAGACCTGTCGGTCCCACTGTAGCTAGCAGCGAGGTGTAGGATAGTCAATCCAGTATAGATCTATACGCAAACTCACGCTCTCCCTCCAAGAGACTCTGGCTACAACTCGGGTCATGACAATTAAGACATGCTCCCATACAGTGGATCACAATTGTTAACGTATTCGTGTATATGCAATATAATGTTACTTGTTCTAGTATCGTTGTATATGTTCTCTTAGTAATAAGTATTGACTCCTGAATGAACTGACTCGTTGATCTAGAAATTGTAGTAGTATGATCCTGTGTTACCCCGATGGTAACTTACTAATGATGTGCTGATAAGTATGAATATGGAAGTACTTTTATGTCTATACATGTATATATGATATATAACTAATATTGAAACGACCCTCGGATGGTCACCCGAAATCCCACCAGACCACATCTCAGTGCGCGAAAAGGAAATAGGGCGGATGGCCTTCCTAAGCCCTTTAAACATTACTTATATATCTATACATATATGGGCATGCAATTTATAAGTAGTAAAACAAAGTTTAAATAAAAGCATTTGATAAGTAAAAGAGTTTGTAAAACATTTTGAAGTAAAACAGTTTGAACAGTGATAAAATCATTGGTTTCCTAGTTATTAATCACATGTGATTAATGCAATCACATGTGATCGAAGCAATAACTATAAGTGTTTAACTTGTATCCCCCCCATAAAGTATTTAAAACATTTAAAAGCATTTCAAAGGTTGAATAAAGGGGTATGAACTCACTTGGAAGCTTGAAGATAGCGAGATCGAAAACCGGGCAGAGTTTCGTCTCGGGAAACGGATTTTTCTCGGGATTCTCGGGAATCTCGGGAGTAAAATCGACTCTCGGGACTTGAGCAAAAAGACCAGAGCTTCGGGTTTGAACGGGCACGGAAATCGAGGCAAGATCGTGAGAGAAAGAGAGAAAATGAACAAATTTTTCGGAAAGGCTCGCATCCCTTTTATAGGGGCTGAAGCCTCCGTACGCGGGGCGTACTCGTACGCGGCTAGACGTCACTACGTCATTCGCTTACGTTTTCGGATGGGACGGGGGGGTAGCTTCGCATAGGGCGACGTGGACGATCCGAGGCCGTGGCCTCGAGTACGCGGGGCGTACGAGGGTACGCGGCGCGTACCTCGGCCCTAGGCTGACTCCTCTTCGGATAATACCGAATTTTTAATAAAAATTATATATAAATTATTTATCAAACTTCAAAAATTCATATCTCCTTCATACGAACTCCGTTTTCGACGTTCTTTATATCCCCGCGAAGGTGAGACTACGATCTACAACTTTCGTTTAGATTCCGTTGGCAAATTCCGAAATTATTTTTATTATTTATTTATTAAAATGACGTGATTAAGGAATTTCTTTAAAAATTCATAACTTCTTTATCTGACGTCGGTTTTTGCCAGACTTTTTACCGTTGAAATACCATTGTCGAGACCTTCGATTCTCGTTTAGGTCATTCCGGCCAAATGTCGCTCGATCTCCGTTCGAGTTTTTAGCTGTCTGTTGCTAAGCTGAACTTGGAAAAATCATAACTTCAATATACGAAGTCGGATTTGGGCGTTCTTTTTACGTACGATCATGGTTTAATGATATTTAAACATAGAAGAATTTAAATAGAAACTTTTTGGACATTTTATTATCAAAGTTAATTTTATTAACTCAAAAATGTTTACAATACTTGACCTATTAGGCCATTACAAAGAGTTGAAATATCGGGTTGTCACATCATCCCCCCGTTAGAGGGAATTTCGTCCCGAAATTCAAAGTAAGAAAACACTCGTGGATTAGGGAAACAGATGTGGGTACTTGCGTTGCATCTGATCTTCGCGTTCCCATGTGAATTCAGGTCCCCGCTTGGTTCCAGCGAACCTTCACGATGGGTATGCGACTTTGTTTTGTTTGCTTGACCTCTCGGTCCATGATTTCTACTGGTTCTTCCACAAAATTGAGGCTCTCGTTGATCTCGATCTCGTCGAGTGGGATTACGAGAGTCTCGTCGGATAGACACTTTTTCAAGTTAGATACGTGGAATGTAGAATGTACGTTACGAAGTGCGGGTAGATCGAGTTTGTAAGCTACGGGGCCGACTCTTGCAAGAATCTCGAAAGGCCCTATGTACCTCGGATTAAGCTTCCCACGCTTGCCGAAGCGTATCAAGCCCTTCCAGGGTGAGACTTTGAGAAGGACTCGGTCTCCCACCTGAAATT